AGCTCTAGAATTACCACGGTTATCTGAGTGGTAAGGAGACCACCAAATAAATGATAACTGATTTAATGAGCCATTCGCAGTTTTTTTTTTTTTTTTTTTTTTCCCAACACACACACTCGCCCCTTCTATTCTGGGGGGCTCCAGTCCGGTTGCTTATTACCGGCAAGCAGAAAGACAAAGTCTGAGAAGAGAACGTGAACAGAAGTCAAGGGAAAAAGGGGGTATCCCCCCAGGCCCCAATAAGGGACTGGGAGGCAGCGGCAGTGAAAGAAAGGGGGTGAACTCACAGTCCCCAAGAGATCCCCTAGTACCCTCACCGGGAGGCAACAACGCACCCAGTCATGAACGTACCAACGGAGCAAAGAAACTGTGCTAGGCCCACCCTACTTTACACCTCACGCCCCCTGGTAACTACCTAACCCCACTATTATCATGTCTTTCATTGCCCATTTCTGCTACTTCTGGTACTCCACTCTCTCTTTTCAACTCATTACGGTTACTCATGATTTGCATATTTGCACTGTTTCATCACTGTTCATTAATGCCTCCCTTTCCCCGTACCCTTCCCCCTTCCTCCCCCTTCCTCCCCCTTCCCCTCTCCCCCCTCCCTCAGAAAAGCCCCGAATACCCACAGCCCAACCCAAACAAGGTCCCAGTACACAACTAACTTCCAAAAATAGATCAGTCCTCAAACAACCCTCTCATCCCTAGTCCTACATCCCCACCCCCCTAGTCCTCGTCATCCCACGTAAGCTCCCAAGACCATTGCCCAACCTGCTCCCCAACCATTATCACCCTACTGTACGGTTTCCAAGCCTTGACAAAGAAAGACCATCCGCCTCTCCTTCTCCTAGAGACATCTGCAGAGATCGCCACTTTCAAATTCCGCAATGTCCAAGCTCGAAGTGTCGGGAAGGATGTCGGCACCCCTTCACGCAACAATCTTGCCCGCATTGCCCATAGAGCCGCCCAAAATGCCGCACGAACTGTATCGGCAGCGTAGGCCGCAGCCATTCTTGTCACATCGCCCAAAAGAAGAAGCCCTACTAAAACCGGGGCACTCCTTCTCAGGACCCCAGGGAGCGGGACCGCATCCCCAGAGAATCCCACCATTTCCAGAAGGCCACTTGCGGTGCACATTCTAACCATACATGGGGCAGAGATTCTTCAACACCCTGGCAATTCCTACAGCACCTGTCCTTGTGCGAGCACTTATCTGCCAACCATTGGTACGTGGGTTGCGCCAACTGGAGGCAAAGCCACAGACCCTCTGCTTGCTTCTGATCCGGGAGGAGGGCCAATACCCTACAGGCCTTCCACCAAACCAGATCCTCCCAGCAGAGCAATGCCTTCTGGTCCAACCATCCCCTCTTCCTCCACCTTTCCTGCATTTCTTCAACCATATCCGTGGGCACAAGCAGGGACCTGTAAATCACTTTCGTAGTTACCTGGTGAACTCTGCACCGTTTCAGGAGCGAGTTCCTAGGTGCCCATTCCCATCCCGACGGGTCCCATGGGAGCTGAAGCGGTGTGTGAGCCAGCTTAAAGGCACAAAATCCTCCCCTTTTGGATATCACTTAATCCCTCAGCACTACGACTGATCTGATGCACTCCTCATGAAGCCTTCCGTCCCGCTCCGGTCGTCGAACAAGCGCGTCACTCAACGTCTTTTGTGAGTCGACATCTTCCCAAGCTTTCGCACCATACCACTGAGAGCCCAATTTGTCTTTCAGCTGAAAAAAAAAAACATTGGACGATCCTGCCCTCCCAAGGCGACCCATTCTCCTTGCAGTCGATCCTTGGCTACCAAGCAATCATCCCATTCCAGCGGAATTGCTTCTTTAATCTCTTCCAGCCTCTCCTTCTTCTTCAGTTGATATTCCAGTCGCTGCAGGACCTCCCCTTCCTCTTTCCACTTCCCTCCCTCCACATCCCAGATATCAACAATCCGATATACCCCACATGCCAACTATTGTTTCCCAAATGCACCCGGGCAATCTTGCCATGCAAATGGAACACCTGACCGGAGTATAAACCGATTCCCAAAGAGAGACTGTCCCAAAATTTGATCACATGTTCGTGGGGCCGCCTGTCGTAGTGGGGCCTCCCGCCATTTTTGCAACACTCCCGACCATAGCGCCCCCCGGCGAAGTCCTCGAAGGAGTTGAGGATGAAGAAGAACAGTCTCAACATCTGCCGGATGGACTCGGATAGCATCTGCCATTTTTCGCAAAGTGACCAGTTTCCAGGGCTCCGTATCCTCTTCCAAAAGAAGCCACAACACCGTTCGCATCTGTAGCGCAGAAACCTGGATGCGGGGGTCCAACAATCCCAATCCCCCAGCCGACCTAGGCTGCACCAACTTCTCCCACCGCACCCTATAAATGAGTTGTGGAGCGCAGGGGTCGTCTTTCCATAGAAACTTCCTTAATGCTCGCTTATAGCCCTTCCAGGCCCTTTTCGACGGGTCCGAAACCGCTCCTGCATACCACAGCATTGCAAACACAGCGTTGTTAGCGATGAGTACTTTTCCAAAAACCCCATGTGAGGCCTTCTTTGCCCAGGCCACCATACGCACCATTGCCTTGTGCAACATATCTTCTAGTTGCTGCCCTGAAGAAAGTGCCGCAGGAACCAAAATCCTGAGGTACAAGAATTGGTCTTCAGCCAATTGCGCGCTCATCCCTTCAAAAATTCCCCCATCTGTCCCTTCTGGGACCACTGCCACCGACTTCTCCCAATTGATCCTTGCACCTGCATACTTCTCAAACATGGCTACCTCACTTCGCAAGGTTGAAATGCTCTGTTGTGTTACCTGTGATACCGCTGCAGTATCGTCAGCAAATGCATTAGACTTGACCTGGCCTCCTCCAGGCAATTCGTAGCCCGCAATCCGAGCATCCGCACGAATCATTTCGTGCAAGTGCTCCACATACAATATGTACAACGCAGGGGAGAGAGGGCATCCTTGTCTCACAGAGCGCATGACCCTTAGTGAAGGCGTCAAAAAGCCATTAATCTGCACCCTTGCCCCCGCCATCCCCAATACTCCCTCAACAGCTTTAACAAATTCTTCCCCAAAGCCTTTACACCTCATTCCTTGTAAGAGAAAGGGCCACCTCACCCTATCATAGGCTTTTTCAAAATCCAGGAAAAGCATGGCTAGAGGTGATTGGGGGTCCTGAGCCCGTTCCATGATTTGGCGCACCAGAAGGACATTCACGAGGATCTGCCTTCGAGGGACAAACCCTGTCTGAGTAGAATGCACAACAAACGGCAACACCACAGCGATCCTATTAGCTAGCACCTTCGCGTACAGCTTGTATGGTGCCGATAGGAGAGAGATGGGCCTCCAATTTCTAATCTCCTCAACACTCCCTTTTTTGTACAGTAGAACAATCGTGGTCAAACCAAAAGCTGCCGGGGGGGCCTCCTTGCCTTAGAAGAGACGATTGAAAGCTTCGCACGAAAACGGAATGAGCGGACTTGCCGCGATCATCAAATATTCAGTCGGCAACCCGTCCGGTCCTGGCGCCTTACCCTTGTGCATCCCTGACAACGCCTCCGCCACTTCTTCCTTAGAGATGGGTGCATCCAGGAAGGCCTTATGCTCCGGTGATACCTTAGTAGCACATTTCTCAATGCAAAGTGTTCACACTTAGACGTGCATGGCTTAGTCTTTGAGACAAGCATATGACTACTAGCAGGATCAACCAGGTAGCGGGTGTGACGAGCAACCGCAAGGAGCGATGGCCAAGGCGCACGTAGGCACGTCACGCCCGACAGCCTACCAAAAGAACGTCGAACAATCGTGGAACATGCAATGAGTTGCTAAAACGCCATGAAGTCCGGCTGTTTGAATTGCACGTGAACTTCCCTCTGTAGGCCATCTCCAACGGCAAGGTACCGCACAATCCAACACAGCCCGCCGCACCCGCCCACACCACACCCAGAGATCGCAAGTTAACCACACTACCCGAACAACGGCGCGCGCGAAGGAACCACCGACAGCTTCGGCCCACAGCCGGATGCCACCGCCCGCCCAAAACGTACCGACAGCAAAGTGCACAACCTCATCTCTCCATCAAGAAACGCGGGTGAAGAGAGAAACGAATGCACCACGCTTCCAACACGACCGGACAGGCGGAAAGCCTCCACCTGTGCACGGGGGCGCAAAAGGAACACAACCCCTCTCCCCCCTGGGTCCACATCCGCCGGTTGCCGTGGGCACCACCAACAGCACTCGACGCAGGCGAAACCCAGGAGACAGAGGACAGTAGCCTTCGAAGCCCACAACCTAATCGCAGCGGAACCACGACGCAACACGATCCGTCACGGTGTGCAGCATACCGAGACCACAGGATGGGGGACACGACGGGCACAAGCGCGCATTCCAAAAAGTCGGGCGGATGACAGGCCCAGCCTCGCGATGCCGTCGGAGGGTGCATCACGCATCCCACAAGTCTCCGCCCTCGCATACGGTAAGCAGCGCGTGCATGGCCGAGGCCACCTGCACCACCGCTCAATGGCGCCGCTCGGATGGCGAAGAGCGCAAAGCGTCCTCACCAAGTCGTGACACCCCCTCAACACAAACGGTACGCGTCGTTCAAAGTGCGGACACGAAGACGACACCACAACAGAGCCGCAACAGCTCTCCCCGTAACCTACGGGATGATGGTGCCGAAGCTGAGAGGCGATGACGGGCACCTCCGCCTCCACACCCTGCAAACGACCACCAACCGGACCCCCGTCGGCGATCAGGCTCCAATCATCGCAAGACGATGAGCGAGGGTGAACGCAACAATCCACAACCCGGCACCACGGCATAGGAAAGCCCCGACAGCCGCGACCGCCGCCAACGACGACCGAGCTGTCGTGAAATAAGCCCTCCGAGAGAGACGACCATGGACCCGAACGGCGCCGCAAAAATGTTCGCTCAACCACCAAAGCACGACTCGCCCGTCCCTCGCAAACTGGAAACCACCCAAAGCGTGTGCAGAGAGTCCCTCGTAACTCGAGTACAAGGTCCCAAAACCCACGCCCGGAATGTCGCCTTCGTCGACTGCAAGGGGGCTGCTAAGCACGCAGGCCCCTATAAGAGTGCAAACGGGACTCTGAACCGCCAACCACCGACTGTTTGGCACATCTGGAGGGTGCTCACTGAGCCATCCGCCGAGGGACCTGCACATGTCCCTTTCCAGCAAGCTGACTGAACAGACCCCAATGGCGATGTCTCCCTCGGGACCTCATCCCTTTCCGCTCTCAATAAGACGCCTCTGGACCTTCTATCCTGGGAGAACCCCTTTTCTCGGGGCCGTTCCTACGCCCGAGTGGCAGTGCGCGGTATCTGCTGCCCCCAGAAAATTCGACACCTCAAAAGTCCGTCCCATCTCCGTCCCTTCCACACACAAAGGGATAAGGGGAAGGGCCGAGAAAAAAATATAAATACATTAAAAAAAAAAAAAAAAAGGGACGAAACAAACAGAGAAAAGGCTAAGCAGCTTCTGTGCCTAGCGACTCAGATCACGCCGCGGTGTGGGAGTGAAAAGTTTACGGGAAGTCTGGCAGAATCGTGCATCCGTTGTGGGGTTATGTGTTGGCGAACATGACCGAACACGCGCTCCAGAAAGAGAAGGGGGGAAAGAAAAGTCAAGGATGACTTGACAAAATCGTCATTTCAATTTGTGTCGGCCCCGAAAAAAACTGCATCCGGCAGAAGAAGCGAGGCCGAAAACCCGACGGCCATAAGCATTTCCGTGCATGTCCCGGCGAACATCATGGAGCCAATCAGGT